GTAGTCGATCAGACGGGAATGCTGGAATCTGAATTCTCCTTCCAGTCGAGCCTCCTCGGCGACGTATTTGCCGAATGGTGGTGTCAGTGCCTGCATCACAACGTTGCTCATTTGGACAAGCAATGCCATGGCGAACAAAGACTCTCCGCCAACGTGTCGACTCAAACTCCAGCTGTAGATCACCAGGTCCAGAATCGGCTTGGCTAGGTTACCGTACACTGATGACAGTCCGTCTGCGAACTTGCGTGTGTCGACAGTGATCAGCTGGTCAGCGTTCTTGATTCGATCGTCCAGTGCAGTAAGTGTATAGAAGGTCATATTGTTGAGATACTGGTCGTGAATGTAGGTCGTCAGCCGCGTTCGATATCGCAGCGCCAGTGTCGTTTGGTGGTACGACAACTGGGAAGTGTTAGCTCGCTCTCGAACCATCGCACTCTACTTACCATAGAGTTTGTGAATGTAGCCGGCACTGCAACCAGCATCCACCACACCAAGCTCTTCAAGAACTCTCGCGCCTTTCCCTTGACCAGGTTGCTGACCAGTTCACCATCTAGCTCAGCGACATAAAGACTGATAAGTGTCCGAAGCACAAGGAACACCGAGTGACTTATGATCAATCTGAACTCCTTGCTCTTCCAACCAGGTATGCAGATTCGCAGGAGACGAGCGAGATTCCTGAAGAACTCCCGATTGAGCTCGATCTTCTTCTGACCTTTACTGTCTCTTCCATTCTGTCCTGCTGGGTCCTTCTGTCTGACCTCAGCTGTTCGTGCTGCCGCTGCTTTCTGCTCGTTGACGGCGCTGCGCACTCGATTGACGACAAGCACGAAGAGTGCGAAGTATACGCCGCGCGATATGCGAGTTCTGTTCTTGATGTAGAAGCCCGCGAACTCTCCTATCAGCTGCCGTGGTGTTCGCGAGGCTATCGACCGTGGTAAAGGCACAGGGACCTTGGAGTGAGCGGCCATGACGGTACAGTCGTGCGCATGCACAGGCGTACTGCTAGGATCGTGTCTGCATCGGCGAAGGCTGGCAACTCGTTGATGTATGTCGTTGAGATGGAAGTGATTACATCGTGACATGTGAGATGCCGCCTCGGCTACTAGCTTGGATGTGGAGCATTGTGTACAACCATATGATTATATGAATGCCAAAATGCCAATGTCGAGCACGCTATGAAGAGCTATCTAGATGTCTATATGCCAACAACAGTCATGAGTAGGTAGCCCACAGTCACAATAACGCCATATGCGACAATACTGGCTGGTACACCTCTCGTGATGAAATGCTTCACTCCCAAGTAACGCTGACCAGTTTGAGGATCCTCCATCATGATTGCGGTCATGTTCGGGAAGCCAGACGTTGGAAGACCCATAGCAGCAGATGCCATCAGTACTGAAGCCATGACCAGAATGTTTGGATGTGGATCAGCCATGCTGTTGCCAACTTCTTGCACAAGTGGAAGCACGATCAGTGCAGCTACTGTGTGGCTAATGAATGTTGCAACAACGCCAATCAGGGCGGCGAAGACGCATAGCACACCGTATAGACTAAGTCCAGTGACACGATCTGAGATGGACGTGGCGATTGTTGCAAGCAGTCCGGAGGAGTTGACAGCCTTGCCAAGAGCCAGACCACCAGCCGCCAGGATGATGATAGTCCATAGGAAGTTGTTGAAGTCCTCTTTGGTAAGGATTCCTGTACCAAAGAACAAAACCATCGGGATGATGGCAATGACACCCATATCGCCAAACACGCTGTCTAGCTGGTGACTGAAACACCACAGGCCGATAGTGGTCAGCGTTACAATGCAGATGAACAGCTGGATGCCGGTGAACTTCTCCTTCATAGGTCTGATAGGGACGATTGTAGTGTTGCGGCCAGGTCTAAATGTAACCAGAAGTAGCAGCCAGATCAGGATGATGCTCACGATACACACCGGCAAGGCGATGAAGAACCACTTTCCCCAGCCTGGTTGTGGTGTCATGTACTTCAGTGCAATGAGATTCTGTGGTGAGGCAATAGGCGATGCGGCGCCGCCCATGTTTGACGCCAGAGCAATACCGAGGAGGAGGGCTTTCGACATTGGTGAGTCGGCTGGTAGGTTGCGAAGGATAGGCTGATGGTCAGTACGGTTTTGACAGCGTGCGAAACAACATACCTGTATGATCGAGAAGCACAGCACAGGTGCTGCTACATTGCTGATCCACATACTCATGAACAGAGCCACGCCCATGCTCGTCAGTAGCACAGTCCTTGGCTTCGTGCCAGCCTTACTGAGGACAAATGTTGCCATCTTCTTCGCGATGTTATACTTGCTCAATGCGGCAGCGATGGTGAAACCACCAAGCAGCAGCATGATGACAGGCGTCCACATTGCAGAAAAGATGTAGCCAGCTGCTTCCTTCGATGTCAGCCGTCGATGCGGCTTGGCATCTTCGCGCACGACTCGCAGGACCACCACGAGGAACGGTACCAGCAGAGAAGTGACGAACAGTGGGATTGCTTCTGTTGCCCATAGCAGACTGACGAAGATAACCATTGCAAGGCAGTTCTGCTGCTCTGTCGTCTTCATGATAGGAACAGCTAGCAGGACAGCAAACACTGCTACAATGCCAATGAGTGCCCAGAATGTAGGGTCGAGGATGAATTTAGGACATCGGTAACGTCCCAGAGGTGTTTGTACCTCTTGGGTCTTGGCTTCCTCTGCATCACCTTGTAGCCTGACATTCTTGTGGTTGCTGTCCTGGCCAAGAATGGTGTGCTTGAAGCCGAGGTTTGCCGCCTGCGCCTTGCGCTCGATGCCTATCATTTCACGCCAGACAGTGTTGCGCTCCCAAACCACATGTTCCCTGAGATGTAATCGCAGCTCCTTACGAGCCGCCTCCAGATCGTCTTTCGTAACGACCTTCGCATATGCCTCCTCTAGCTTGGCAAGATGATCGCTGAGGATGGAGAGTGTACTCTGCTGGAATGGATATGCGGGCTTGACGTTCTTTGCAATCCAGGAGTCCTTCAGGTTACGATCCAGGATCTTGTCATACTTCTTCAAGACCTTCGAGAAGCCAGTTTGATTGAGCTGAATGAAAGATCGCAGCTCACAGACGCTGACATAGAGATTGATCGTCCGCTTCTTCAGAGTAATACCCTCCTCATACAGCGCTTGCAGAGCATCGTCTGGAAAGTCATTGAAAGCCGTGCTTGGTCTGCGAGCCTGTAGCTCTGCTGATGCGCGCATATGGACAGGGCTATCAGGCTCGTCCGACCTGATCTTACTCTTAGTCAATGGAGCCTGCTCACCTGTATCCTCATCGTCACTCTCCTCCTCGTCAGGCGCTGGTACATCGCGAGAGCTGATAGTTGACGTTCGTCTTCTGTTGCCACTTTTGTAGCTCTTGAATATGCTTTGCTGTCGTGCCTTTGCCCAAGCGTTCTGCCGTCTTGCACCTCCTTCACCATTTGCTTCTCCAGCAGTGTGCTCGGCTTCGAACTCTTCCACATCACGTAGCATGGCATCAACCTCGCCATAGATCTCGAGCTCTTTCAGCTGGTAGAAGGAACATATCTTCTCCAGCTCTTCATCCAGCTTTCGCGAGAACAGACCATCTGGGTCGCTCCATGATCCTTGTGTCAGCAGCGGACTCTGCTCTGGGTCGTCGCCTGACGACTGTGGTCTTGTGCTTTGGTTTTCGCGCTTCTCGAGCTGATATATGAGCTTCTTGAGGTTCGAGTAGCTCAGGTAATGTGATGACCAGTCTGGGACAGAGTTAAATTGCAGAGAGTGTGAGAACTTCATGTCTGTCTCGATCAGCTCGACGAGCTTCTCCCTTCTTTGAAGCTTAGCAGTAGGCGTGGGCTGTAGCTCGACTGGTCGGAATCTCCTTTGATGTCGTTGGACGGGATACTTCGCAAGCTCGATGTTACTTATAGCGTGTCCATCGATACCATCAGCGAGCGGTGGCTGTGGGCGGTCCAGCTTTGCGCGAAGGCATGCCCCAAAGGACGTGTTGTGCGTGTGATAGAGATGATCGTAGGTGACTAGAGGCCGGGGAATGATAGCAGGCAAGAGGCCGTAGTGCACTTAGAATGGATCCACAAGATGAGCCATAAGAGATGGTGGTGCGGCTGATCGAAGTTGATGGCTCGGCTTCAGCTTTACACGAATCCTTGCTCGAGTACATGTAGGATGTCTTCACTACTGCTCAAAAAGAGATCAAGACGTATTGTAGAGCAGACCGAATCTGCATATCATGCTTCATCGATATCCTACAAGTACGAGCAATGAGGTTCCCGACTACATAGAGTGCTCAATAGCAGCCTTGGATTCTCGCAGGCCTTCGAGTATCGCAGACTCTACTCTACCGCAACGATCTGGGCCTGCAAGGGCTGGGTCCCAACGTGTGTAGCTTCAGAGTCGACTCATAACCACGGCGTGCTGCAATCTGAGTGTGTGCAGCTATGACCGAATCACCAGGTCATGCTATGTGCAATACTGCAGCCAGTGCAAGTCACACTCAAGACCAAGGGTAGGAGAGGAGAGCCATGCCATTCAGTCTTCTGTGACCGCTTACACAGCTCGCGCCCATGTCGCATGCTGCTTTACTGCTGTGCACTGAGTCCAGCGGGTTAGTGCTGGATCAATCTTGCCACAGCAAGCGACGAGTTATCAGTATTGCTTTATGTTTTCGTCCACCGAAAGCTCGTGATGCACTCACCGACCAGCATGAGATTCCCTCAAGTATTCACGAGGGATCTGTATGCCTCACAGACGCTTTCAAACGATGCGAGGGCATCATACGGCGTGGTGTTGCCCGCTGTCTGACATCAGACGAAGATGCGATTTTCGGCCAAAACAGAAGAACCCTCGCTGCTGAAGGCATTTTGATAAGACACAAAGACTCTCCACAATCACGCTCACTGCAGGGCAACGCACTGCTACTGCTCTCGAGCAAGATGAATGTCTGGAGAGCAGCAAAACGAGTGTTCTAAGAGCAAAAGAATGACCTTGGCAGGGATCGAACCTGCAATCTCTTGATTTACATATTCTCGCTGTCGATCGCTCGTAGGAGATAGTCGTAGTCAAGCGCTTTGCCATTAAGCCACAAGGCCAGGTGTATCAGCTTAATTTGAGGATTGATGATAAGACAGGGTGAGCCAGAGATGAGGCTTTTTCGTTACGAAGCTTGGGCTCATCATCAACTTCGACCGGATGAATGTAGCTGGTGCCGCATCAACTTTGCAGGGAGACGAGTAGTATTGTAGCAGCACAGCTGCGTCTGAGCAGATTGGTGCTATGATAAGCGAAAAGGAGACCAGACGAGAAGCTCGGATGTAAGGGGCGGCAAAAACTGTGGAGCTTTGCCTGGATATCAGCCGAGCTTGCGCCGAACATTTTACAGCCTTTGCAAAGATCGCCATAGCAAGAAGAGCGAAGCTGATGGCAAATGCCCTCCAATCGGCCGTGAGCCTCGTGACTTGTAGAGGCGACCACCAATCTCACGACATAACACAAGTCCAAGTAGTAGCGATTATGTTCGACACAGCAACCAAGCGCAATGCAGCGGTCTTCCTGTTTCAGGCAGTTATGAAGTGCAAGCGCCACCACATGTATACAATGCTGGAGTCTAGGCATGATCCTTCGTAGACTTTGTGCGCAGGGTTCTCTTCGTTCGTGACGGATGGTGTGCACATGCACTCAGTCCACCAGGGACGGACTTCATCCCATCGATCTGTTATTCCAGCTGATGATGAGACCTGAACATTCGATAGATGTGCCATTCCGTGATGCCGTCATTGTAAAGCTTCTTGCGGTGCATTGTCGAGATGTCTGTAGATCATTTGATCATGCTCCTGCAGCCATTACATCGATGTGCCTGAGTTCTCTTCAAAATAAGCCTATGCTGAGTCACATTCGATCGCGCTGATCATTGTGCTTTCTGTGCCTTCGCTTTTGCTGCCTTTGCCGCCTTTTTCTGATTGCTCCTGATCATAACCATGCTTAAAAAGCTGCCTACTACTGCGCCGCCGAGGAGTAGGAGAATGACTGGAATGCGGATGGCCCACACGCGTGGTGGGAAGAGTGCTTGAACAGGATGCGACTCATCGACAAAAGGCTTGTGCAATCAGTAGTGACTTTGGAGCAGCAGACCTGTTGACATACTAAGAGAAGTGTCCAGATTGTGTAGTAAAGGAAGACAATGGTTGCGACGGCGAGCATTGAGAGACCTACAAGTCGGTCGAGCTGCTCAGGTTAGCTTATTAGCTTTACTGAAAGCAGACGCGTCATACTAATGTGTTTGCGCCCATGTCGCTGTGGTCAGTCGTCGGTGAACCAGAAAAGTGCTGATCGTGAATTATAGCAGCTACAGATTCACGAGACGACGTGTATGTGATGAGCGCGACTTTTGGCACAAACAGATCCACGCCAAAAGTCTTGCTATCCGGGGCTTGGCTCGTGAATAGTTAACGCCATCTTCTAGATGTTTCATTAGGCATTCAAAGGCGAACACTTGGCCTGTCCAGCAATCTCACTCTTCCCTACAATCAAGGACAGCGACACTTAGCAAATTACCGCAGGAGCTGAGCCTACCACAAACGCCACTCCATCACTTCGCGCAAACGACCTTGACGGACACCAGGTGTCAAGATGTGGGTTATCGATTGGTGTATGTGGACAAGATGAACCCCGAATGCGAGCACTGATGGCAATCAACAGTTTGGGATCTCCTTGCACAGCTTGGTCTTGCCAACAAGCATGCTAAGCTTCTCTTCCTCGGCCTCGACAATGCAGGCAAGACTACTGTACGTCATGTATAGATCGAGTCGATCATTTGAACTAACAGTGAGCAGCTCCTTCACATGCTGAAGAACGACCGCGTTGCTATCCTTCAGCCTACTCTTCACCCAACGAGCGAGGAGCTCTCTATCGGAAGCTGTCGATTCACAACCTTCGACCTCGGAGGACATCAACAAGCTCGTCGTTTATGGAAGGACTACTTCCCAGAGGTCTCCGGTATTGTGTTCCTCGTCGATGCGAAAGACCCAGAGCGATTCGCAGAGAGCAAGGCAGAGCTGGATGCGCTCCTGAGCATGGAAGAGCTGAACAAGACACCTTTCCTGATCCTAGGTAACAAGATTGATCACCCAAATGCTGTAAGCGAGGATCAGCTGCGACACGAGCTTGGACTATATCAGACGAGTAAGCACAATGAAGGGAGACGTCGAGTATATACTGACATGCTGCAGCTGGTAAGGGAAAGGTCGCTCTGGAGGGTATCCGACCAATTGAGATCTTCATGTGTTCAGTGGTTATGCGCCAGGGATACGGAGAGGGTATTCGCTGGCTGTCACAATATGTCTAATGTCAGAAGCAGCAGCAGCACGGGAGTGTCTCAAGCTTCAGCATCGCGACCACAAACAAGATGTATCATGAACAGCTGCACTTTCCGAGCACGGCGTATGGGCTATGATTGCTGAACACAACTTTGCAACACTATATCGTACGAATTGCATGAAGTTATACCATTTTCTAGGTTGCATACCTGATCTCAAAATTTCCACACTCTCAGCGCATGAAGATCTCAATACTGACCTCGTTGCTCCAACCAGGTGTTTCTGCGTTCTGCTTCCAGGCCTTCTCGATATCGATCTCCAGCAGCTTGTCAGACACCTTGTTAATGCTGACACAGGCCTGTGGAACCGGCTTGCCATACATGAGCACGAAGAAGTCGTCTGCGACCGACTTCTCAGGCAGTGTGCTGATATACAGACCGGCTGTACCTAGTGCCTTGAAGCTTGCCCAGACACGTAAGCGACCATTTGACTCGATATAGATGTCAGAACCCGTCACAGCAGCCGATCCAGTCATCTTGTTCAATAGTCCGAAGAGTGCCACTTGGACATCACCTGTGTGTAGCTCAAAAGAGCGCAGAGGATACGCCGACAGGATATCCCAGCCAGTCTGTCGTAGCATGACTCCAAGGAAGCTGTGCTTTCCAACTCGTTGCAATGGCTTGGAGATCTCCGAAGAGACGAACGAGTGAACCACATACTCGCCATGCTCTGTACCAGGGATGTCTTCCAGCTTGACGAACTCCCTCAACGTGCGTTGTGACACATTGAAGACACCTAGGATACCTGTACCAGTTTGCGCATGACCAGCGAATGTGCCAACTTTCAGCATAGATTGGGCGGTATACTCATTGTACGGATTGATCGACTTGCCAATGATATCTGGACGAAGAATGATTGTAGTGTTCCTCGTTGTTTCAGCTGTCATCTGTTTGATCAGCTCAACGTTGTGATGACCTGGGTAGTCGGTGAAGTAGATTGGTCCTCCGCTCACACATCGTGCTGCAGCGTGGAAGGCTGCCCATTTGTGTGAGGTCTGGAACATGTCCCAGTCCGGAAGAACGTTCAGGTGCTGTGAGATGAGACTGTTGTGTGCATTGCAGAACACGTGCCAGGGATGGCTAGCATCAATCTCCGGAAAGAAGTCGTCAGAGTTGCGTACGAGGAGTCGTGGCTTGTTGGTCGGCAGTTGTGAATGGAAGATGATTTGTGGAGTCTGTGACATGCAGCTGATCGCTCGAGAGCTGAGGTGACGCAAATGTGCGATCGTCCATGCGTCCTGATACTCTGTGATGAGTGCTTTTCGATCGGGAGCGTTGCGTATCTCGTCGGTCATGAATTGAGCATCCGTCTTGACGCTGTCCACTCCATTCTCGGCAAGGAACTTGTAGAAGTCATTGTACATGCGGCCGACATCGTCTGCAGCGACCACTGTGAAGGAACCCTCATTCTTTGGCACCTCTATTGTCTTGTAGTTCTTGGCGATCCAGCCGTCTGGTGAGACACCTCCCCAGTAGCCGAAAAGTGCATGCCACACGGCGACTATACAGTGTTAGCATGAGAATCTAAAAGTTCAACAACGTACTGTGCTTGACATTTGGATGTCTACCGCGAATGGCGGAGGTAGTTCCTTTCAGACCATCTGGAAAGCCCTTCTTGTTCGCCTCAAACTCAAGCCAGCCACGATTGATCTGGTCGGTCACTCCTTGCTCACCAGACAAAGATTGCCAGTTGTCGTCGATGATCAAGTTTGTGATGTTGATACCCTCCCTGGTAAGATCATCTAGCGCATCGTAGATTTTCTTCGCACTTAGGTCTTGGCCAAGGGCATTCCATGTACAGTATGTGAAACCATCGTACCACTCTTCGAGCCACTGTGTATCGACTTCTTGCTTCTCGGAGATCTGCTCAGCTTTGCTAAGCTCAGTAGAGTTGAGGTCAGCCACGATATGGCGTGAGTGATAGAAGACCGCGGCATTGGCAACATCAAAAGTATCCGCCACAGCTACCAGTATCCGAGCGATACCTGCTGTAGGTCGATCATTGCGGATCTTGATGTATACATTACCTTGCGTGTCAGATGTGAATGTCGTCAGCACATCTTCGACACCACTAACTGCCAGAGCAACTACATGCATCCCATCAGATCGTAGGAACGATGCAAGGATAGCATCTTTGTCAAGGGCAAAGTGAGTGTTGCCCTGTCTTGGAGCAAGCCAAGGTATCCATGTTCGAATGATGGCAAACCAGCGTGCAAGATGAGTAGGCTTGCCCAGTCGGATTTGAGAGCTGCCTGACACATCTCCTTGGGCCGCCACTACTGGTGCTTCCAAGGAGTAAAGGAGTGTATTCGCAGTATCTGGAGTGACGCTCTTCACCACAATATCAGAGCTAATGCCGGAGAAGAACTGCTTGAAGTCGTGCTCGGCATGCTTTTGATAGTCCTGCGTGTTGTACAACAGGACGCCATCGCTCAGACCTGTAGCATCTCGGCTCCAGGTCCAGTGACCACCTACCCTAGCCTTGAGAGTGAAACTGACGGCGTGTGCATGCTTGGGAGATCCTGACAGCTCTCCCCTGTACCAGAGCTGTGCCTTCTCACGGCTTTGTCTGCCAACAAGAAGGACATCTAGTGGTTGTGTAGGTCGTAATATGAGTTCACACCAGTCATGTTCGCCGTTGTGGTTGTGCCAGATCACAATCTGAGGCTCTTGGCCACGCAGAACTTCAGACGCCGATGTCTCGACGCACACAACGAA